CCGAGCAGTGGGGGGTGTTTGATCGGGGGGGCCCCTGCTGCCCCTCTCCATGCCCAGCCACAGTGCCACGGTCCCTTGGGCACAGGCATCCGCAGGGAGGACGCTCTGGTGGGGGCGGTTGGGATTTACCATCTGCTTCCCACCCAGCCCCACAGCAAGCACCCTGCTCCCGCCCGCCTGTGCCCGGCACCCGCTGGGTACAAAGCAGCCCTCATGGAGGGGCAGGGGGCTGCTGGCAGGGTGCAGGGCCCCCCTGGCTCACTGTGCCCTGTCCTTGCCCTCCCGTTGCAGTGCGGCAGGGGAGTTCTTCCCCGAGGCAGCCCAGGTGGCCTATCGGATGTGGGAGCTTAGTGCGGTGGCCAAAGTAGAGGTCAGCACCCCCCAGCACCCCAGTGCCCCCCTCTGCTCCCCACCAGCTTGGCACCCCCGGGTGCTCCTGTCTGCTGCGGGGCACAGCCAGCCCCTCCCCTCCGCTCTGCCTCTTGCACCACGCCTTCTCTTGACACTTTTCTCTGGTTTGGGGGCATGAGGTTGGGGGCACGTAACCCTGGCAGGGCTGGCCACCCCCGGGGCTCCACTAACCCCCCTCTCCACAAGGCCTCCCTCCCTCGGGGGGGAAGTCGTGCATGTCTGTGCAACACATCGTGGGCAGCCTGGCTCTGGTGCCCACCGGGGACCTCCTGCTCCCAAGGCAGCCCCCCTTGGTGCCAGGCACGGCTGTGCCATGGGTGGCTGGCACCCTGCATGCAGCTGGAGGCACCCACACGAAGGTGCTTTGGGGTGTGCAGAAAAGACACCCTGAGCCCTGTGTGCACAGGGTGGCAGGAACTGTGCTGGGAGCTGGCAGGAGGGTGAACCTTTTGGTGACTCCTCTTCTGGCTCTCAGCTGACGTGGCCAGCCCTGGCTGAGGTGTCCCAGCACTAAGGGAGGTGGGTGTAGCACCGAGCAGGACACCAAGACTCCAGGGATTGCCTGTGGCTCTCTTCTCCCCACTCTCTGCTGGCCTGGCTATGGTTTGCCCCTCGATGGAAGGGGTGGCAGTGGCGGGGACGTTCTCACTGAGCTCCAGGTGCTTGCACTAACACATGACCTGCTTTGGCCTCAGCTTGCCGGGTGGCACTTTCTCCTCCCCCTTCCCTCCCCCCCTCTTCCATCCCTCCCTCCATCCCACCCAGCTCAGGGATGACCCCAAACCCCTGTGTGCATCCACAGCTGCGAGGAACCGTGCAGCCTGCGGGAAGCTTCAACGACGATGGGGACGCACAGGTGCTGAGGAAGGCCATGAAGGGCCTGGGTAAGCAGGGGCCATGTGCCCAGCCCCTTCCTGCTGCTCCTCAACAAGCTCCTGGAGCAGAAAGCCCTCCGTGGCCCACGCAGGGCTGCATGAAAGCTTGGGGAGGAGATGGTTTTGGAGCTGTGGAAGCTCTCCCTTCCCCAGCTCCCCAGCTTGTGAGGGTGGCCATGTGCCCGAGGTCAGGGCTGATGTGGTGTGGCTCTGCTGTCCCCCTCAGCCCTCCCCAGAATCTCTGCTGTCATTGCAGGCACAGATGAAGGGGCCATCATAGACGTGGTGACACAGAGGAGCAATGCCCAGAGGCAGCAGATCCTGAAGGCTTACAAGGCTCACTATGGCAGGGTACTGCTCACCCCCCTCCCACCCTGCTCCTTCCTTCTGCCTGTATCCTGCCCCTCCCCACGCAGAGACTTGCCCCTCACTTAAAGAAATCCTGCCCAGGGAGAGTGGGGGGAGTCAGGTCTCCCTGGAGCCTTTCCTCCTCCAAGTTGAACAACCTCAGCCTGGCCTCCCAGCAGAGGGGCTCCAGCCCTCTGGTCATTTTTGTGGCTGGATTTGCCCCAGTGTGACTCCCCCAAGGAAGATGGAGCTGTCAAAAGCAGGCTCCTGCTCTGGCTACACCACCAGCCTGAGGGGAGGGTGTCCCTTCCCCTTCACTTGCCCCATCCTCAGTCCCACACACAGGACTCCAGAGCCAGGATCTCCCCAGAGCCATCCCCCAAAATGTGACCTTAAACTGCCCCGAGGGTCTTCCCAGACGTCTCCCCCCTCCACCCTCTCCTCCCGTTTGCTCCCCGGTGTTGCCTCGGCCTCTCCATCCCTGCGGAGGGAGCCAAGGACTGAACCCTCTGATGCTTCTGCAGGACCTGATGGCAGACCTGAAATCTGAGCTGTCGGGCAGCCTGGCCAAGCTGATCCTGGGGCTGATGCTGACGCCGGCGCAGTACGATGCCAAGCAGCTGAGGAAGGCTGTGGAGGTCAGTGCCACGATGGTGCCATCTGCTCCAGCACGTGAGGACCAGGTGGCTTGTGCTGTGGTTGTCCCTGCACTGCAGGTGGCCTGGAGCAGTGAGTGCACCCCAGCTTCAGACACCCCAAAGGCTCTCTTCCTACACAGAAGGAAAGCAGAGCAGAAAGCACCACGGCAAAGACCTGGTTTGCAGTCAGGACCTGTTGGGAGCCTAGTTTGGCCTCTTTGCAGCCCAGCTCATGCAGAAAGCCTCTCAGGGAGGCCTTCTCCTGCCATCCCCACCTTGCAGCAAGAGCAGTCCCCTGCCAGGCACAGGCAGCCACAGCAGAGCCAGTGTAGGGGCAAAAGTGGCGTGCACTACTCACCAGTCACACCACTTGGGACCCCACTAGGACACTTTTGTGCTGGCTTCTATCTGCTGTTGGGGACATTTGCTGGACATAGACCTTAGGCATGTGGTAGCCCTGGGGTTAGAGCAGCCCCTCCTTGGCTGGCACTGGTGGGGTGATGCTGCTGTATCCCCACCCAGTGCTGGCACCCCCAGCACCCCACCCTGCTGCTCTCTTCCAGGGGGCTGGCACGGATGAGAAAGTCCTCATTGAAATCATGGCCACGCGGAACAACCAGGAGATCAAGGCTATCAACGAGGCTTATCAAGAAGGTATGGCCCAGGAGAGATGGGGGGAGTGCCTAGGTCCTGGGCATGGACCATGTTTCATGCTGTACAAGGCTCTTCCAGAGCCTGGGGTACAATTCTTCTCTCTGAGTTGGATCCATGGCTTGGTGCTGTGAAGGTCTGTTAGTCCCTTCAGGCAAGAACAGCTCTTCCCCAGGTCCCATGCCTCATTAAAGAGAACTGGAAACCTGGGGTGAAGCTGGCAGGAGTCCTCAAATCCATCCTGTGCTTTCTCACACCTCCAGACCCCCCATTTATCTTTCCCTTTGATCTATGTCCTCTTCTCCCTAGGGAGCAAGAGCTGCAAGCTTCAGGTTAAATCCCCAGGCTCTTGTCCCCAAGAGAGCCCATGGTTTTAAACAGATGGTTCTGTTGCTGGTCGCCTCCAGCAGAGCACTGGCCCAGGCCTCTCTCCATGTCATGGTGACATGGCTCTGTCACCAATGTCTCCTTCCCCAGGAGCTCTTTCACAAAGGTCCCTTTCCCTTGGGAGCACCTGGAGCAAGAGGCTGTGCTCGTGCCCAGGGCACTAGAGCTGGGCTGGGGTGATCTCCTCTTCCTTGAGCCTGAAAACAGCAGATGGAGGCATCTGGTTCAGCCATGCAAAGGCTGGAAGATGGCCACCATCACCTGCAGGCCCCCCTGGGGATCACAGGCACAGCAGGCACTGGTGGGTGGGAAGCAGAGCTGCAGGCAGGGTGCAGGGCTCAGCCGTGGCCCTTCTCCACAGCCTACCACAAGAGTCTGGAAGATGATCTCAGCTCCGACACGTCAGGGCATTTCAAGAGGATTCTCGTCTCCCTGGCTCTGGTAAGGGCAGCCCTTGCTGGGGATCACACATGGGCAGCAGTGGGGGGTGTGAGGATGGTGGCTATGGAGAAGACAGAGCATCACGGCCTGGCTGGGCAGCACTGCTGGACCCTGTCTGCCACCCCCTCGCGTGGGGCTCTGCCAGGAGATGTCCTCTCCCCAACTCCACAATTCTTGTATTGAACCACAGGGCAACCGTGACGAAGGACCAGAGAACCTCACACAGGCACATGAGGATGCCAAGGTAAGAACAGGACTGGTGGTGCTGCTGCAGGCTCTGCATCCAAAACCACGAGGACACTGCATGCCCTGATCTGGAAATCCTCAGGGGGGGGTGCAAATGCTGCTGGGGCAGGGGGACATGCCAGCTGAAGTGACACCCTTGGAGGTAAAGCTGCCCAGCCTGACTGCTCATGCCCTGGGCTCTGCTGCTCTATGCCCAAGGAAGCTGCAAACCATGAGAAAAGTCCTGGGGCCCAGCCCCAGGGAGCTCCCAATTGAGGATTGCTCCAGTACTTTGGGGTCCACTAACACACACTGGTGCTGAAATCTGCTGCTTGAGCTTCAAAGGCAGCTTTGGGCTGCTCTGCAGGAGCCACCCACGTCTTTGTGTAGTGCATGGGAATCTGCTTTTCACCCTGCCAGCACACTGGGATGCCAGCCCCCAGATCATTGCTTCATCCTTACTGGTCTGTGGTGAGCCAAGACTGGAGGGGGAAGGCTGAGCAGCCAGAAATGGTGCAGGGGGGTGCTGGGGCCCCTTCGGCTGGTCAGACCTGTGACCCTCAGGCTGTGCAGCTCAGTCTCCTGCTCCTTTGGGCCAAGTCTGTTGTGAAAGGGGCCGGGAGGCTGGGTGCAGAGCCAACCCCCAGCTCTCGCTTGGCTCTCCTGTGCCAGCACCGCTTGCTCCGACGCACAGCAGCAGCAGGCAGACCTCCAGCTCTGCCCCAGGGCTGCTGCCTGCACCCTGCCCATGTGCTGCCACCCGCCTCCAGCTGCTGCAGAGAAAGAGAGAGCCAGGGGTGACAGACACAGGGACAGGCC